GTAGGGAAAACAACAATATTGAACTAGCAGAATATTTGTCCAAAAAATTGATGGAATTAGAGCCGAACAATTCAGGAAATTATGTGGCACTGTCAAATGCATATGCAGCTGCTGGAAAGTGGGATGAGGTAGAAAACGTGAGGTATTTAATGAAAGGAAAGGGCCTGATGAAGATTCCTGGATGTAGCTGGATTCAAATTGGAGAAGAATCTCATGTCTTCGTTGCTGGCGACAAATCACACCCCAAATTGGAGGAGATCAATTGGACATTGTCTTTGTTAAGATGGGAAATTTGGTCGCTGGAACTCAACTATTCCCTCTAAAGGATTCTAGTTCATGAGATGTCGCTGCAAATTTTGCAAACAAGGTTAACTTGCTGCAGCTTTCTGACCCTGTCCAGGCTCTACTTGTGTTTCAACACACCAAGCATCAAGCAGGAAGAAATTATTTTCAGGGTTAAAGAGCGCCTAGGATTGGCATGCGCAGTGGAATGTTGAAAGACTGATGTGATTCGTGTAAACCATTCATGTAGCATGTCAATGGCCACGGGATGAAAAATAGGCGCGTGCCATCACTTGCCTAGAAAGTGGAAGATGACACAAAAGCGTTCCGAGCGGCGACTTAAAGAATCATGACCTATACTTGAAGTTCTGGAAGAAGATATGATCAGAAACTATAAGGTCTAAGTCATGATTCTAAACACAAACTTCACTAAAGAGAGGCCTTTGAATTCTTGTAAATAATGTTAATGCGTCGTGGGGTTGTGCCGTGTGCAGCTACAAGACCCGTGTCTAGGATTGTTTTGAGGAGATGAAAATTTGTGACCAACTGTATTAAAAAAAAATTGTATGAAAAACAAATTAATAAACAGCTAACAATGTAATGTGCTCTCCATGAGTGTCTAGTAACCAGGTATGTAAGGGTATAACCGGCGATTTGACAGCAAAAGCAATAAAAAAAATCCAATATAGAATAGCATTTCGAGTGCTACAAGATACAATTGATTAGCTGATGTTTCAAAATTTAATGTTGGTTCATTAGAACCAGATAAACAAATACCTAGAATTCCCATTAATAAAAAGGCGGAACTTCCTGCAGTGTACAAAATAAATTTTGTAGCTGAATACAAACGTTTCTTTCCTCTCCTCTCCACGTGGATAGACGTAGATAAACTGGAATTAATTCTAATTCCCACATGATAAAAAAACTTTTAAGCATATCTCGGTTTTAAGAAGGCCACCTGCTCTGTTTCAATGTTCCATATTCATAAATTATCTTACTTATTGTGCCTAGAAAGAAAGTTGAAAGACCACTATGTTATGCAAGTGAATTATCTATCAATGTGAAGCATCTAACATGAACTGTTAAAGTGATGGTAATAATTTTGCTGCTTTTTAAATGTTAAATCTTACTTCGCGCTATTTCTCATCCTCAAGTCTTATTTGTTGTTTCACCAGTTACTACATTTAACTTCTAGCAATCAACCTTACTGGCCTTGCACGTTCATGTCTCTTCTGAAGAGAACAGTTAGAGTTTCTATCTGTAACGAACAAGCAGATTCCTGAAGCTATCATTCAATTCTATAAATCATCTTCAGGTATTTATCCAAATTTCTAATCCCTTTATCTCACATTTCCCTTAAAATTACACATAAATGCAATTTACATACTGTTGGACCTATCATTTCCTCATTAATGAACGTCTTTCATTTCGAGAAGTTTGATTGGAGAAATATGAATCTTTGATCAGAAGCACAATTCTTTGGCTTTTAAGATAAAATTAGAGAAAATTTGTAGGTGGTCATTATGTCCTTGCATACCGGAATTGTTGAAGCAAGAAGACCAAAGAAGTCAACAAAAGTACGATCGTGACTGATCTCATGTTCTTGTTCTTTGAGCAAGGTAATGGAGAATGTAGCACTAGAAAACTAAGGCTGCCTATTTTGGAGACGCATATAAAACTTTACCATGTTTCCTAAGAAAGATCACATGGATTTCTAACCACATGTTGTGACTTCCTTGACAGGGTTTGTGCTTATGATAAAAGGTGAACAAGCATGTGGAAAAAAGTTTTTATTCAGTGACCACCCTAAATGAATGGTACAACGTTTCCCTAGTGCGAAGAAGAAAATTGTGATCGTTATATCTTTTTCGAAACAGATGTTTCACAAATTCATCAGCTCTGCTAGTATTGCTTTCAGTTTTACAATTAGCTCGGTAGTCAGAGGAAGATAATGAAGATATGTTAAAAGGGTTGTTTCATCGTCTAATTGCTCAACCAACACCACTAGCTTACTTAGTTCTAAATTCAAAACTCACAATGGTTATCAATTTTAATGCCCTTTTTTTTTATAGAAAACTTGTTCCCAAGTCTATATGCTTGTTACTATTTTAGTATTTGCAATCACTCTTTTGGAGATCCTTAAGACAAAAAGTAGAAAAAGCTCACAAGAAATAGTTATATATTTATATATGCATGTATAATGCAAGGATGAACTTAGAAGGCAAGAAAACTGATAATTTTAAGCCCTGCTCTATAAAGTAATATTAGTCAGTGAATAGTGATACATAATCATCTCACTTCTCATTTGTGTGCATTGACTGCTTTTCTTTGTGGTGGATGAGCTTTAAGTAATTGATGAATGAGGGGTTGGTTGCTCAACAGTTGCTTGAGGAACACTCATTCAGAACCAATGGGGTTGGATGATTTTGGTTAGAACTTTTTCCAACCCTACCACAACCTCCTATAAGCTGGAAATGAGTAATGAAAGTCTAGGGACAAATTTGTAAGAAAAGTTATTTCAAGTCTGCATAGTATAACACATTGCATTAATCAGTAGTCTTGTGTTTTTGCCATGTAATAGGTACCCCATAAGTTATGGAAATTAAACTTTAGGTGAACTACTTTGCCAGATCTTTGTGAAATGCATATGGACAAGGTTAAAGTGCTATATATATATGGACAAGATTGTGGGTGCTTAATCCATCACTGCTATTGTGCAATTGAGGTCATTCAGTTAAAGGTGAACCTCTTGATCAAGAGTCAAACCCCTTCAAAGTCTTTCAATTTTGGAGAGAGATTTTCTAAATAGATATCTTTATCTTTATGAGAGTAATTTTGGAAGGTATGACATATCGGTAAATACAATATTGAACCGTTAGATTTTTATCTATTTTTATCAGTCAGTTTCTTATATTTTTATATTCTGATGTGAATTCGATCAAATCTGACATTGGGATACCTTATTTTAGAAACCTCCTTATCTTTCAATGGACCTCAAAATTATTTAACTAAGCTACCCTTAAGAAAATGCCGTCTCAAAGAGCTTTGTAACATCCTTAGCTTTTTTCAGTATAGCTAATCATTTTCAAGACTTTCCAAAGTAGCACACTCCTACCATGATTATTATGCTAAATCCTTATTTCTTCACTCTTGCGTCCCAAGGGTTGATGTGATATCTTCAACGACAATGAAAGGAATCATTCATTCGGTGGGGCGAAGTTTGTCCCCTTAAAAAAATATTTCTGAATAGCACCAAAATATTTGGGGCCATTTTTGTTGAGAAGTTATTTTAAGTCCCAAAAAATGATGTTTTATATAATTCTGATGTCTCTAAGTACTTGACAAAAACTACAAACACATTATTGTTAAAAAAAAAAAAAAAAAAAAAATTGATGTTCTCAACAAGTCGAAGTTAGGCAGATACTTATGTACAAATTATTTTACCAACCCATACACTCTCATATCACGTCTAAACATATCTATCAAAAGTCCCACCTAAAAAAGTAGCTAAGCAAAAGGCATAAAAAGCTAATGTCAAGGTGGGCCCATATATGAGCTAGAGGATTTTACTTGATATTGCCACCCCACATGGATACCTCATCTTAGGTGGTCACTATTTCGTTTTAACCTCCTCAATTATTCCCAAAAGTAAAAATAAAACCGTCCTCAATTGTGGTTGATTGGAGACGTTGGTCTTTCAAATCAGGAAAAATGCTAACTAGTACTAGAAATGTTCAGCACCCGATTTATAGAATATAAATATATTTGTCAGAAAAATAAATTTTCTATCTTTGTCATGGGACTCAAGTAATAACTTACATAGGCATGAAGGAAAAAAAAAAAAAAACCATCATGAATACCGTGTCAATTCGAATTACACAAATCCATTTGAACACAAAATACTTTTATCAATCGCGTTAATCGTATCAACTCAATTATAATCTAAACTAACTTATAATAAACACAAATTCAATTACAAATTTTTTTAGTTATATTTTAGGCCTCATTCATTTCACCGATTTGAGTTTTGTTACAATAAAAAGCTCTCAAAAAGAGTCACATCTAACTTTTTTGTTACAGTAAAAAATTTTCATATAAAATTACATATTAACTCAAATCGACGAACTAAATGGGCCCTTAAAATGTCACCCCATGAAAAAATAGTGCAAAGTACTAATGATATATGTCAAGTACAAGGACAAAATAATTGTGAGTTAAACAACTTAGAGGGGGGTTTTTGGACATCAATTTATTTGGGAGGACAAAGCGGCAACTCTAATAGTGAAAGAATGGGATGGATTTGTGTTGTGTTTTTGGTTGGATGTTTAGAAAAAATGGTTTTAACAATAAAGATTGGAACTAAACGAGGAAGTTGGGGCCTTTGAGATGGAGAGTTGAGGGGGATTTTAAACTTTGTTGTTGGTAATGAAAAAAGCCAACAAACAAGGACGAAAAAGAAAAAAACAGTCATAAGCAGTCAATTTTAGGGTCCGACCAAAATGCGCCAATGCCCTCCGCTTTCGGTGGTGCACCAAACCGGAACAATGTGGCCTTGCCAATTGGGCACGTCCCTTGATAGAGATAAGTCACATTTGTTTTGCTGTGATAATATCAGGTTTTTTTATTATTATTTTGTGATAATTGTGGTAAGATTAAGAACAATGATATAAGACACTCGTGCCACTCTCTAGAGTCTTATAATATGGAACCGACAAGAGGAATTTATTTTTTATTAATAGTGGTGCTTAATAATAATGGTGCCTTTAAACATATAGCATGTGGTAATATGAAGTTAATTACAAGAGAGTAGGGTCCTAAATTGAATTCTAAAGGGAGTATGGTTCTAGTCGAGGTAATTTTTGTTTTTAGTTTAGTCAGTAGAAGGATAAAATTAAGAGAGATGGGAGGAAATAGGTCAAATGAAGAGGGTAATAAAAATAGAACTATTTTCGGTAGGTCATCTTATCGGTATGACCAGTTTTTTACCGTTAGATCTTGTCAAAATCAAATGAGATTGAAAAAATATACAGAATATACAGTTTCTGATACAAATCTAATGGCTAAAAACGACTGAAAAAAATAAAACTACCGATAGTTTCATTTATCTGATTTTACAGGAAAAACTCTCAATAAAAATTAGGGTAATTGATATATTTAGTCTCTAAACTTTAGCTATAATGACATTTTGGTTGAGTTTTTACGTGGTGAACGAAGAAAAACACATATTTCTTAGACACGAAACACCTTTTTGAATTGATTTTTAACATGGTCATTTTGCATTGTGTTCTTCCTATAATGACTTTCCACGTAAATATTCAGTATTGTTGAGCCTCAAATGTTCTTTCTAAGAAAATAAAATAGCTATTAAAACAGGTGGGATTCACTATTTGTAAATATCTTGGTACAACCCCATTGACTTGAACAAGGATGTTTTAGTGGATGTTTAGTTTATGGTTTCAAAATGATTTTCGGTTTGTGTGTTTTTTTTATGAGAAAAAATACTATAACGAATTATGAATTATGATTCAAATCATTATACGAATCTATCAACCACACCCAACATTTAAACTCAAAGGTATGTTTGAAAGAGATTTGGGAAGTGTTTCTCTGGTGTTTTCCTTAGTCAAGAAGTCAGGGGGATAAAAACTAAAATCAAAATGTCAAAAGTGAGGCTCTGGTTCTGGTTTTTGATAATTGTGTATTTATTAGAAGGTCAAACTGCAAGAGATATATTAGTATTTATTCTTTTTTTTTTTTCACACTTTCGATTGGTAAGCACGAGCTTGAGAAATTAATAACCATAAGCATCTTTCCCCTAAAATACAATTTTTTTTCTTCCTTTTCTGAGAGAAAACAGTAATTTTACTTAACTGAATACTAATATCCATGTAAAAAGTAATTCATTAATTTAATAAAGAAAACAGTTAAATATTTTATGGGAAAATTTTATTTTGATATCGTGTTATAATACTTTGTTTTTTTGATAATTTCACATAGATATTTCGACGTTTTAGAAAATAATTTTTTGATACTCTAGCATAATTTTTTGAGAAGTGAAACGTCATTTTATACCCTTACATAATTTATTCAGATTTAAAAAATCATATTAAAAATATTTTGATGATATATGCCCTCACCACATATAATAAGATTGGTGGTGATATAACAGCGAAAAACGATCTATTAAAATTGATGTAACTTTTCACTTTATTAATTGATAGAAACATGAATCAGATTACCCGCTAGAAGCTATGTGAGTGTGTGCATATGTCATTTAAATCTTAATTATTACATTTCTTATTAATAAAGTAGGAGTCATAAACTCCACATTGTACTTAAAAAAAAAGAAAAAAAAAAAAAAAAAAAAAAACATGAAGCAGATTTTTTTCTGTTATACCTATGATCTCAGTATAAAACGTGAGGACACCACTGATATTTTTTTCCTTTACATTAAGGGCCACGGACAATAAGCAGTTCTAATCTTTAATCCACAATAATACATCGGCTTTCTATAAACATAATACAATAGTAAAGACAACCAACCCTTGATGTAAATTCTTTTACAATAAAATGTTGTACTAATATTCTCATACTGAAAGTTTATCCAAAAAACAATTCCCATACTGAGGAAGATGTCCTTCTAACACTGTTTGGTTGGGAAGAAAAGTGAAAGGTGGGAAGAAGGGGGAAGAATTTTGAGAGAGAATAGAAAAGCGTGTTGTTAAATAGGAGATAAAAGAGTAAAGAAAAAAATTAGAAAGAAAAATAGTATAAGTGAAACACAATATATATTTTTGTCTCGTTCATTTTGTGAATTCAAGTTGAAATGTGACATTTTTTGAGAACTTTTCATTATAACAGAAAAAGTTAGATGTGACATTTTTTAAGAACTTTTTACTGTATAAATCTAAAACTGAAAACTTAAATCAGTGAAATGAACGAGACTTTTATCTTTTAGAAGCGAAAAATTACCACACTTTTTTTTTTGAGCAAATCAAATTACCACAATTAGAGTAAAGTCAAATTATTTTTTTGACCTCATTTATAAATTAATATTATAATTTTAAATGAATAAAATAATAAATATACATTAACTTATTTTCTTTCTCCCTTCTCGTGCCAAACAACAAATTTCTTTTCCCTCATTCTTGTTTTTTATCATTAATCTTTGTTCTCTCCATCCTTTTGTTTTTTTTTTTTTTTTTTTACTCCTATCAGACATAACATACGTGTTCTTGACAATGCCTTCAGGAAAAAAAAAAAAAAAAAAAAAAAAAAAAAAAAAAGAAGACGGTGACGATGAGCGAGTAAGCAAGTACCGATATCTTGGAGAAGTTGATGAAAAAAAACAGGAAAAAAAAAAAAAAAGAAGAAGAGATGTATGGTCGATGTAAGGGCAGGTGGGTCCATGGCCGCCTGTATCAACGACTGACACCATCGCTGGGTCAAAGCCCCTCTGATCTGTTTTGTATTTTGTGGAGAGAGAGAGGCAGAGAGAGAGAGAATCTGAAAACTGGCCAGGCTGTTCCCCACCCTACACAACTCACATCACTGGCCTAGAAGCCTAAATCACTGCACCACGTGGCACTCTTCTCTTCCCATCCCCCCACAATTATTCCCACAACCTCACCGTTGATTGTGGTCCGATGCTACTTATTTTCATCATTTTATAGTTTACACTCGGCCCGAAATTAATACAGGCACAGGCCCGTTTAAATTGACTTAAAAAAAAACTGTTTTTAATTTATTTAATTTAAAAATTGTTTTTAAATATATTTAGGTGTCTAATTTTAAAATTTTTTTAAATTTTTTAAGCGTTTATAGCACAAATTATTTTCTGGTTCGTTTGGTTGGAGGATTCAAATCATGTGATTCGAATCTTTTTCGATTTACGTGTATTTTTTGTGAGAAAAAATACTGTAGCGAATCACGAATCATGATTCGAATCAGGGAACGAATCCCTCTACCAAACGCCCCTCGTATTTATGAAAAGAATACTTATAAAAGTTTTTTATCTGTGAATAATAAATTAAATATCTCATTTATATTTTTTTATTACGTTACTTTTTATAAGAATAAGTGTTTTTGATTTTTTTACCAAATAGGTTCAAAAATTCTTTTTAAATATAAAAGAATTTTTTCAGACACTATTTAAACAGTAATTAAAAAGTACTAACTTATGTTTGTCTTCTTCGACTACTTAAAAATACAAGCACAAATTATTCTAAACATACTACATATGATTCAAGCCAAAGACAATTTTATATTAAAAGTATAAAGTGTTAATTCTAAATCTGATCCTCAATTTTGTTGTCAATATAACTTTAATTCTTACCTTTTAAAATGTTCTAAATGTGACTACTGATCTATATTTGTTTGTTTTAACTTTATTTTCCAACTTTACTCAAAGTTATTTTATATTTTTGCATTAAAATCATGTTCTATCACTAAAATGTTATTTTTTGTTAGTATCGCGTACATTTATGTCCTCTTTTTAATACTCAATTAAGAAAAATAATTGAAATTGAAACAAACTGAGGTCAAGTTAAGGTTTTTCTAAAAGTTAGGTTCAAAACGAGATTGAAGACGAAATTTGAGAACTATTTTATGCAATTGACACAAGTAAAAATATTGCATCGTCTTAAATCATTAAGGTTGCGTTTGGTATGAGGGATCAAAATCATGGTAGTTTTAGTTTTAGAACTAGAACCATGATTTATGGTTTGAACTTTATGTCCAAATCATAATTCTAAAACCGGAATCAAAATCAGAGGTTTAAACCATCCAAAATCAAGAAGGGAGATGGTTTTATTTTTTAAGGTGGCTCTGATTTCAAACATCACATCAAGATTCAAATCTTGAACCAGAACCATTCAAACCAAACACTAATTTTCAAAAACTATTTTATACTTTTTATAAATAAACAAATATTTAAACTAGAATCATGATTCTGATTGTAGAACCCTCCTACCAAAAACAACCTAAATCACCTAATTAAATTAGAATAAAAAAGAACAAATTCAACATAATTTAATAAGATTTAACGGTTTAAAACTACATCCGTACACCGTATGTGAAGCCATATCATATTAAAGTCAAACGCTACTTAAGATTAAAACGGATAAAAACATGACGTTTTAATTCTCTACACAGTTAGTTGAACAACTGTATATCCCAACCAAAAGTTCTTGATAATAGACATTAGGCTCCTCTTTCTTTTTCTTTGTTTCTTATGTAAAAATGTTAAAATAAACTTCCCATGACCGCATACTTTCTGTCATGTTGTTATTGGATTTTTATGGTATTAGTACACATTAAATCAGTTTTTATTTTTCGGTTTAGTTTTATAAAACTTGGAAATAATTATGCGACCATTTCTGAGCGGCCAAGTAAAAAGAACCCGGCATGCACTGTTTCTGTTGTCACACGCTTGCCAACAAAGAAATATTAATTAAGAGATGAGGGTGAATAAGTGCTTGGCGTTATGCATAAAAGACGAGTGGTTGAATTTATCAAGGTAATCTTGACAAATATTTTTTTAAAGTGCATGTTCTAAAATTTTTATTCTTTATTTTTAACTCATAATATTTTTATTAATATTTTTAATTAAATAATTATATTAATAAAAAAACTTGGAAATAATTATGCTCATACACTTTTAAAAATAAATTCTTTATTTTTTTCTTGATAAAACGCAATCTCTAGGCTCTAGCCCATGTTGGATTATTTTTATAGACACCCACTTCGTTGTGGCCTATACTCTAATACAAACAAAAATACTAATAAAATACGTGCAAAGGAAGAAGAAATTAAAAAAATTACAAGACGAAAATTGGAATAAATCTAGAGCTATAAAGAAAGAATTAAATTAAAAATAAGATTAAACCCAGCTAGAGTCCATCAAATGGTCAATTCCAATCAGTTAATTGAAATCCCATCCAATCCTCCTCTCCCACTTCCCCTCTCATAAACAATTCAAATCCCCCAACCTGTAAAAATCATTCCAAAAATTAAAAAGAAAAAAAATAGAACCCAAATGAAAAAATAAAAAATAAGAAAAAGAAAAACTAACAAAAAAAAAAGGAAAAAAGGAAAGAAAAAACAAATATTGGACCACCACCACCACCGAGTCCTCCAATCAACTTCACACTTTAATCCTGCAATGTACGCCATTGTGCACATTTTAAGACGACCCACCACATTCCCATGTCGTTTTTTTTATCCTTTTTTGCCCTTTTATTTTCTTTTCCTTTCTTTCTTTCTCCCTCTTTTTTACTTTACATTGCATGAACTTTGATCTCAAGGCGTAATGGAGCTGGGTGGGGTCCTGGACTCAGTCTGAGGCGTCTGACCGTCTGATCCTTTAGACGGGTCATCTGACGACTGTCGTAGCCCATCATCAGTCTCTCCCCTGTTCATATCCTCAATCATACGTAAAACCTCTTGCATTCCGGGTCTCTGATCCGGTACGGTGGACACACACGACATGGCAATCTGCAACAGCTGAACCATCTCTTCCTCAATGTTGTGATACCTCATCAGCTCCACATCGAAAACCTCAGCCGTCCATTCTTCCCTGACAACCGACTGGACCCACCTGGGAAGGTCAATGCCTTCTTCTCCCAGCGAGGCCTGGTTCGGAGCCTTTCCCGTTAGGAGCTCCAAGAGCAAGACTCCGAAGCTGTACACGTCCGACTTGAACGTGAATTTTCGGGTCTCAAAAACCTCAGGTGCCCGGTAGCCCGCGACACGGTTCGGGGGAGTGGAGGATCCGAAGAGGGAGTGGAGACCAAAGTCGGAGACGCATGCGTCATGGTCGGGGCGGAGGAGGATGTTGGAGGACTTAATGTTGCCATGGACAATCTTTTCCGACACGTGGAGGTGGGTGAGGCCTCGGGCAGCACCGATGGCGATCCGCATTCGGCTATCCCAGTCGAGTGGAGTCCGACCCGAACCTCTGCTTCCTGTGGCAAACAATCAGGACATTGTCCAATTTGAGTAACATGTCTATCCATGTCACATTGATAATAAACTCTAAAAGGAATATGCTAAAAATTTATTATTTGAGTGCCATTAACAGTTACCGCCTATTTGGTTTATATGTTTGAATTTTTTTATTTTTCTTTTATTAAAAGAAAACACTATTGCCAAAAAAAATTTTAAAACTACAAAACAAACAAAGACTTAAATTTTAGGGAAAAAAAATTGTTATGTCATGAAGAATGAAGATTTGCTACTCAAAACATTTTTGTCCAACGTAAGACTTCTATTACGGATAGAATAAAATGATTACGAAATGGCCAGACGGTCACGCAACGTTTGCGTGGTAAATTCAAGCCACGAAACGTAACTTTAGATTTTCTAAAAAGCAAAAGATAACACTAATTTTTCTTTTCTTTTAGGTGTAAGAGTGAAAATATTTCAATGAGAACAAACTCATCTTTTTTTCTGTTGGTTTCTCACTTTATTTTTTCCTTTTCAATCCGCTCCTTCTCTTTTTGGGCTTGCGAGGGACTTTCTGAAAAGAAGCGAAAGCTTGGGAAGAAAAATGGAAAATATAAATAAAGGAGCGGAAATAATGTCGGTAACTGGGTGTGTAATCATGGAGTGTAGACTGTAGCATTCTGGCATGGTTGGTGACACTTCAGAAAAAGAAATTAAAAAAAAAAAAAAAAAAAGCAGAAAAGAAAAGGTTTGTTACGAAGTTTTACAGAGCGCAGGCTAGAATGTTTGGGCAGTAGCAATCACAGAAACAGAAAGATACAATTAAAAAAAGCTAAAAACTTGGGTTTCTCAAGATTAAAGATTTGTGCGATGACCACATGGGCGTAATTCTTTACCAAAAAAAACTCACATGGCGTAATTACCTTCGACAGTTGTTAATATGACAATTAATTAGACACTAAACTCATGATTAACAAAATCGAAAAAAATGTTCTCAATTTCGAAGACTAGGACTCCGTTCACTTCGCTGATTCGAATTTAGAATTCGAGTTTTTCTACAGTAAAAAATTCTCATAAATAATCACATTTAACTTTTTTGCTACAGTAAAAAACTCTCACATAAAGTCACATCTCAACTCGAATTCTAAACTCGAATCCGCAAAGTGAACGAGGCTGAAACAGTTCAATCCATACTGACAGTCAAAACACAAGAACATTCATTCCACAAATTATATGAAAAAAATAATTAATTAATTAATTAATCAGAAATCATAAATTAAGCGTACCATGAAGAAGAGCAGACAAGCTGCCGGCGGCCATGAAATCGTAGACGAGCAACTTCTCATCCTTGGAGTAGTAGAAAGCTCGGAGTGGAACCACATTCTCGTGCTTAACGTTTCCGAGACCTTCCATTTGGGTTTCGAACTCTTTCTTGCTCACAACCACGTCCTTCAGCCTCTTCACGACCACCGTGATCCCTTGCTCCAGCACCGCCTTGTACGACGTTCCGACGCTTCCCTTCCCCAAAACCTCCGCCGACGCCCGGAGCAGATCCTCCAAATCGAAGCTGTAAATCCCTCCCTCGAAGAACACCAGCCGGTTCCTCTCCGTCTCCGTCGATTCGCCGGTAATGTCGTCCTTCGACGACGACGTTCCGGCCTCCGCCGCGCCGGAAACGACCACGGATCGGCTCGTTGCAACCGGTTTCGGCGCCTTCGCTGGCTGCCGGCGCTCGCGCCGCCGGAGGCAGAGGATGAGGACGAGGACGAGGAGAATGAGGCCGAAACTCGCTCCCAGAACGATCCCGATGATCGCGCCGGTGGAGAGCTTATTCGATTTCTTCTTGACCGGAATCAATGGAGGCGTTCCCGCAGGCGATTCGGCCGGAGCCGGGAAGAATGGATTGCAGGGAGGGAGAGGTCTGCCACAGAGCTCTAGGTTTCCGCGGAAGGAGGATTCGGGGAATTTGGACAGGCTCTGAGGGATCGAGCCGTTGAGGTTGTTGTTGGAGACGTCGAAGCTCGACAAATTGGCATTGGAGATACTCGGAAGCTTGCCGGAGAAGCCGTTTTTCTCCAAGAAAAGTCCGGTCAGGTGCGTCAGATTGTTGACGGCGAACGGAATCGCGCCGGTGAAGTTGTTGGAGGAGAGATCGAGGCGAGTCAGGCGAGTCAAGTGAGTCAGGCTCTCGGGAAACTCGCCAGAGAAGGCGTTATTCTGGAGATACAAGCTTCTCAGAAACGTCAAATTAGAGAAATCGGAGGGGATCTCACCGGAGAGACGATTGGAGCGGAGACTGAGGACTCGGAGATGACTCAGCCCGCCCAGAGTGTTGGGAGGAATCGGGCCCACAAGCCCAACTCCAGGCAAACGGAGGGAATACACAAACGACCTGTTCGCGTCGCACTCGATTCCGACCCAGTCGCAGGCCGACTCGGACGAGTTCCACTGGATGCGGTTTTCGTGTGGGATTTCGGACAGGAAAGCAAGGAGGGCTTGCTTGTCCTGAGTCGGCTCCGAGTTGACCAAAACTCGCCAACTCGGTAGAAGAAACCAGACGAGGAAACAAACGACACGCCCGGGGCCAAAACCCACGCCCATGTTTGCAGCTCTGCTCCCTCCAAAAGAGTACAGCGCAAGAACGAAACGACAATGGCGCTTTTGTTTTCGTGCGTTTGTAACGTTTTCGTGTGTATCCTAGGAGGGTCGTTTCACGCACTGGTTTTGGACGAAACAATGAATGGTTTTCCGGGGAAGAGCCATGAGAGGGAAAAAGAGTTTTAGAGAGAGAAAGAGAAGGAGAGAGAAAACTGTGTGTGTGAGAGAGAGAGAATGAAGTGAGAGGTAGAGACGTTTTAGTAAGAACGAAGGTATCACGAGGTCACAAAAGTGAAGAGGAATAGCTGGTAAAGAAAACAGAGAACCATCCGTGCTGTGCTGGCAAGTAGTAGAAACGTTTTTTTTTTCTTTTTCCTTTGTTCTTGTTTTCTATTTTTTTAATTGTTTGCAGTAAAATCATTTGAGGACGCTTAGAATTATTTTTTATTTATATGTATTTTTATAAGAAAAAATATTTTAACGAACCATGAATTATAATCTAAATTATGGTACAGAAAAAATAACGTAAATTTAGGGCTTTTTTGTTTGTACATATATTCAAAAAAGATTTGAATTCAAGTTAAAACTTTATTCAAGTTTATATTCTTTTATAAAATTTGAGTTTGAACTTGAGTTTAAACTTAAATTTTAATTTGAGTTTAGGGTTAAATTCTGAGTTGTTTCTCCTTCAACTCAAGTTCTTAAATTCAAAACAGTATTTTTTTTCCATTCTTAAAAGTTTAGAATTGATTTCAAAATGATTTTTTTAATAAAAAGTAAAAATGAGATTGTTTTAAAAATAATTCCGGAACTAATTTTGAAATTACATTTAGTTAGTTTTTTTAAGAGATTATTTTGAGTATAATAAAAAAATAAAATCGTGTTTATTAATTAATATATTATTGATAAGTACTAAAAGATGAAAATAGAAAAGTGAAATAACTTTTAACTGTTTTCTAATTCTTTCACAAAAACTATTCTTATTATTTTCGTTTTCTAAACATTTGCTAAACAAATGCAATTTCATTTTCATTTTCATATTTTGTTTCTCAAAATACGTGAAACCCGTTTTTAAAAACAATTCCAAGCACACACTAACTTTTTCGTTTTAATTTTGATTGAGATAATTTTTTTAATGCGTTCACAATGAAGAGACGAATAAAACCCCACTCATATATTATATGAAAATTTTCATCTAAAATATTATCTAAATACAAACTCAAAAACATATCTAAACACAAATTCAAAACTATTCTCATCTCATCTCAAATCATAATTCTAATGTATACAACTAAACACTACTAAAGCTATAACTTCAACTCAAATTATAAATCAAATTCAACTTAAAATCTACACTTCAGTCACCATAACTCAAAAATATAACTCAAGAAGTCAGGTCTCATTTATTTTACCGATTTGAGTTTTCAATTTTAAATTTTTACAGTAAAAAATTCTTAAAAAATGTCACATTTAATTTTTCTATTATAATAAAAAACTCTAAAAAAATATCACATCTCAACTCAAATTAAAAACTCGAATCCGCATGAACGATACCTATACTCCCAACGCAGCCTTTCAAAACACAAAGCCCCAAAAAGCAAAAATTGCTCTTACTACGCTCCATATTTTAGCGCGTGCTGATGAGATTTGTTATGCACTTTGCTAATCCGCCGACTATTTCAGTCGCTGTGGTGTGCCCAAGAAGGTGGTGTCATGCACGCGCAGTGGATATAGGGTGGGGATACGGAGAGGAATTGTGAGGGTAAAAATGGCAGTGGACAATTGGGATACTTTTTCTTTTCGCCGTTTTTGCTGCATCGGTTTTTTTTTTTATTTAATGTAAAAGTGTTTTTTTTGGAATAAAAACGAGATAAATATTTCATTTCAAAAAAAAAAAAGAGAAATATTAATCACTTAAAAAAAAAAACGAGATAAATAATCGTTTTTTCTGTTTTTTTTTTTTTTTTGCTGAATAGGTTATCTGATGTTAATGGTTTTGTGCCAAGGAAACTGGGTGTGATTGGGTTAAGCACTCGCAGGCCAGGGATTGTATGTGCCAAAAAAGTTCAGTATGATATTATTGGGCGGATCCTATTTCCCAGTTTTGACTGTCATTGGAGTCTTTTTACCTTTTGTGAGTAACATCACTATCCGCCTCTCTTCCCAAAAACACATATACTCATGAGTAGAGATGTCATGGGCGACGGCCCGACTCAACCCGCAACAGTGTCAAGTTCGATACGGCCTAAACCTGTACTGTTACGTATTGTGTCGGCCAGACACGTTAGACGGATTAGGGCTGCGCTTCGACTTCCTAGCCCGTGGCTCAGGCCCGGCTCCTGTGATTCTGCTCAAGCCTGCGACGCGAATCGGCCCACCAGGCACGTTGCAATGTGACCGTTGGGCCCATCGCGTGCCTAACGATCTGCCCGTCACGGGCTTGCCGTTAGGCCCATGACGGACCGACCGTTGAGCCCGCGATGGGCTCAACGGTCACATTGCCGAATTCAACCAAAAAAACCCTATAAATACCCCCTAAATTCCACACAACATTCACCACAATAATTCACTCTCAACTTCTCATCTCACTCTCATTCTATCTCTCATCTTGTCTCTTTGATATTGATTCTTAGATTTTCTCTCTTGATTCCTCATTTTCTAGCTCTTTCATTTATAAATTTCAATCAATTTGAAGAAATCCCGAAAGGAAAAAGGTATTCTACTTATCAATTTTGTTACATAACATTGTATTACTTAAGTTTATTATATTGTTTATTGTTTATAAATGAGTGAATTAACATTAGTTTTTTTTTTTTTTTTTTTTCAGAAAATGGCCTCATCAAATTTTCCTGATTTCCTTGTGCTCACTGAGCTTGGTGATGAACCATTTTACGAGGATGAAATGTTAATGCATAACTCCAACCCCACTGAACCGGAATTGTTCCGGTTGATAATCAATCAGTGGACAACGAGGAAGTTGGAGAACATGATAGGGAAAAAAGACCGTGAAATGCTCCCGCATGGCACAGTTCACAGAAGAGCCCCGAGCAAATCCAAAAACAGGTGAAATAAAAATTCGTGCGGTATGTAAATATTGTAAAAAAAATACTTTTCTAATAACAAGGGTGAGGGTACTAGTCATCTTAATAAACATCGACAATCAAGTCTACCGTTGCACTAAGGTGGTAGTGTGGACTCCCGCCAACAAACAATGTCACTCACATCACATGGGTTACAAAATTTTACATATGATGTACAACGTGCTCGTGAGGCACTAGCTAAATTTTTAACTAGTGCTAAATTACCTTTGTCTTTTGCAGATGATGCAGCGTTTGAAGAATTCATACAGACGGCATTTTGCCCACAATTTAAACGGGTAAGTAGATACACAACTCGATTTGATTGCATTAAAGTTTTTTATGCAATTAGATATAGATATTTATGCGTCACGACGCATTATGTTGACGAGGAATAGGTTTTACATAAGAGAATAATAGTTTTTTCATTTATGTCCATTTTCTCATAACGCAACTGTTATTTTTTCAACTATAATGGAAAGTTTTAATTTTAATGGGACAGAAGATAAAGTTTTAACAATTACTTTTGACAATGCGTCAACTAACACAACTGCAATTAACATGTTTAAACTTAATTTGAAACCACCTTTTGGTGGCAAAATTTTTTATCAACTGTGTGCGTGGCACATAATAAATTTAGTAGTACAAGCAGGAATTGAACATATTTTCTCTCATCTAACAAATATTAGAGAATCTTTATCCTTCATATCTAGTTCTAGAGCTCGGCTCCAAGAATTTTGACAATATTGCAGGAACAACCATATGCGCTCAAGAAAGTTTCCAACTGATGTAAGACATAGGTTGAACTCCACCTACTTAATGTTGAAGACTGTAATTTCGTATCAACAAATCATCACTATGTACGTGAACAGTAAGCATGGAGTGTGTAATTTTCGATACATATTGAAAGATTGGTGACTACTTTTTAAAATTTTTAAAAGTATTCTACAACGCTACTTAATTACTTTCTTGTGTTTCTTATCCTACTGTGCATCTAGCTTTGCATCAACTATTTAATATTTCAGAAACATTTTCTTATTATAAGGATACTAAACTTTTTGGAACCATAGTTAAGCAAATGGAAGCTAAATTTAAAAGTTATTGGGCCAGTTGTCATATGTTATATGCATTAGCAACGATTTTAGATCCTAGATGCGGATTAGATTAGACCAAATCTTTGCTGTTTGCTATAACAGAAAATTTATATATTGATATGAAACTAACTATTGCCGATGCTAGGAAAATGTTAGAAAAATTGTTTGCTTTGTATGAAACAAAATACGAAACATGAGAAAAAGAACAGGAACTTCGACGTCAAGAAGCAGTTCGGGACTTAAAGGTTCATCGTGGAGCTTCTTAAAGAAGAAGGAGAAACCACCAGGATCGTCATCAACACAAGCGTCTTCAGAACTAGTTAAATATTTTGAATTAAATTTTGTAATCGATGACGACAAACTAGACATCTTACAGTGGTGGAAAAACAAGACAGGTTATTTTCCAACACTGTCCATAATAGCATGTGACATTCTGACAACTCCAGTATCAATAGTAGCATCGGAGTAAGCATTTAGTGCAAGCAACTGAATTCTTGACGAGAAGAGGAGTATAATGTATCCAGATATCTTAGAGGGGTTAATGTGCGTGAAAGACTGAGAAGATGCCAGAAAATGAAAACAACACTATATAGATGATACAATTCAAGAATATGTTTCGAACGTAGACATAACAGAATCTTCTGTAAGCAATTCTTTCACAATGTAATTTACTTATCCTAGAATAATGCACTCTTTTTTTCTTCGCTAAGGTTTTGTCCCGATCTCCCCACATGTTTTACTTGGCAAGGTTTCTAACGAGGCAGTCATTTTTGTGTACTAATTCGTATTATTTCAATTCAATAAAATCACATCTTTTGAGAGCATATGAAATATTTTCTGTTTTTAATTAAATATTACAAAAAAAAATTAAAAGGGCCAGGGTCGGCCCGTGAAGGGCCCGGGCCCAACCCTGGCCTTTATGGACGAGGGCCTAGGCCAGGACTGAGCCTAAGGGTCTTTCCTCAGGCCCGGCCCAAGCCCATGACGGGCATGGTGTGGGACACAACACGACACGTTTGACACCTCTATTAATGAGGGGGACTCAAAAAATGAATTATCCCATGCCTTTGTTAGGAAAAGATAAGTTCAATTTTT